CCTGAATAAAAGTCTTCCAACAAACAAAAGTCCAAGGCCAGATAGCTTCACAGGCGAATTCTATCAAACATTTAGAGAAGGCTTAATACCCTAATTCAGGCAAGAATACTGGAGTGGGTTGCCATTCCCTTCTCCAGGGGATCTTTCCAACCCAGGGTCTCCTGCATTACAGGCAGATTCTTTACTATCTGAGACAATGAGAAAGCATGCCTCCCAACACCCACCCTTCTGAAACTCTTCAAAAAAATAATTAATAAATAAACTGCAGAGAAAGGAGTACTCCCAAGCTCATTCTATAAGGCCACTATCACTCTGATACCAAAATCAAACAAAGTACCACAAAGAAAGAAAATTACAGGCCAACATCACGGGTGAACATGCAAGTAAAATTCCTCAACAAAATACTAGCAATCTGAATCCAACAATACATTAAAATGATCCAACAAAAACCCATGAGTAAGTGGGTTTTATCCTAAGGATACAAGGATTCTCAACAGCTTCAAATCAATCAGTGTGAGACATTGTATCAGCAAATTAAAGGGAAAAAAACCCATGATCTTCTCAATATATGCAGTAGCACTATTTATAACAGCCAAGACATGGAAACAATCTAAATGTCTATTGACAGAGGAATGTATAAAGAAGATGTGGTACACATATACAGTAGAATATTAGCCTTAAAAAAAAGAATGAAATAAAGCTACCTATAGCAAGTGGTTCAACCTAGAGATTATCATACTAAGTGAAGTCAGATAAAGAAAGACAAATATCATGATATCACTTTATATATGAAATCTAAAAAAAGGTACACAAATGAACTTATTTACAAAACAGAAACAGACTTAGAAAACAAACTTATGACTACCAAAGGGTAAAGGTGGTGAAGGAGAGATAAATTAGGATATTCAGATTAACATATACATACTATTATACACAACATCAATAAAGACCTAGTGTATAGCACAAGGAACTATACTGAGTACTCAGTCATAACCTGTATGGGAAAAGAATCTGAAAAAGAATGAATACATACACACACACACACATATGACAATTAACTTTGCTGTCCAACTAAAACTAACACAGTATTATAAATCTAGTATACTCCAATATAAAATTAAAACAAAACTGTGACACACACAATGGAATATTATTCAGGCATAACAAATAAGGAAATCTGTCAACTGTGATAACATGGATAGACATCATGGGTATTATGCTAAACAAAATAAGTCATACAAAGAAAGACAAATACTGGATGATTTCACTTATATGTAGAATCCAGAAAACAAAACAAATAAAAAAAAAAAAAAACCAACAAATTGAAGCAGAATCATAGATACAGAGAATAAACAGGTGATACCAAAGTGGAGAGAGCAAGAGGAACGAAATAAATTCTTAGGTAGATTAAGCGGTGCAAGGGCTTCCCTGGAGGCTCAGTCATAAAGAGTCCACCTGCTAATGCAGAAGACATGGATTTGATCCCTGGGGTGGAAGGATCCCTTAGAGAAGGAAATGGTAGGCCACTGTAGTATTGCCTGGGAAATCCCATGGACAGAGGAGCCTGGAGGTCTACAATTCACGGGGTCTCAAAAGAGTCAGACATAGCTTACTGACTAAACAACAACAAAGAGTTACAAGCTTTCAGTTTCAAAATACATGGGTTAGGGGGAGGTCCTAAGATGCTGGAGGAAGAGGATGGGGAGACCACTTTCTCCCTCACAAATTCATCAAAAGATCATTTGAACGCTGAGCAAATACCACAAAACTACTTCTGAACACTGGCGGAGGACACCAGGCACCCAGAAAGGCAGCCCATTCTCTTCAAAAGCAGGTAGGACAAACTATAAAAGATAGACAAAAGAGTTAGGGATGGAGATCCATCCTGGGAAGGGAGTCGTGAAGGAGGAGAAGTTTCCAAACACCAGGAAACCCTCTCATTGGCAGGCCTGTCAGGAATTTTGAAATCTCAGAGGGCAACATAACCGGGAGGAAAAAAAAAAAATCACACAGATCAGGCCACAGATTAGGTGCCTAACTGCAACTCCCAGTGGAGAAGTGGCCCAGATGCTCGCGTCCGCCACCAGCAAGTGGGTGCTGAACAGGGAGGCGTGGACTACACTGCTTAGGGGAAGGACTGGGCCTGAATGCCTTGAGGACAATCTGAGGGAGCTAACGTGAGATGGCAACCATAACTATGGGATAGCCAGAGAGAGAGAAAACAAAGAGAGAGAGAAAGAACTTTCCCACAGAAAGCTCTAACCTAAGGCACTGCCAGATCAGATCACAGAACAAAGGAATGAGCGAACACCAGAGGAGTGCTAGCTGGCTATGCACTGGTTCATCCCCTGCTGGAGGCAGAGAGGCAGGCGGGTGACAGCCAGAGTCGGAAGGTGAGGAGCAATTTCTGCCTCTACCCAACTGCGAGCAGGCTCCCATCTGCTAACCAAGTCTTCCTGGGATCCCGGACAGTTGATATCCACCAGGCGGGCCACAGTCAGAGATCAGCTCCCAAGAGGAGACACAAGGCACATCTGAGATGGTATACCTGCTGCGCACCCAGGAAACCCAGTGGCTGGGACGGGGAGGTGATAAGATGCACCATCCACCCGCAGAGGGTGCGCTCACCAAGCACCTGGTCACCTGAGCTGCTCGGACCTGGGAAGGGCAAAAAACTCAGGTCCAGTTGAATCTGTGACTTTGTGGAGTACCCAATAACTTGAATGGCTTAGACCTGGGAAGTGCACGCAACCCAGGGCCCACTTTAGACAGTTCCCCTGCAGAGCAACCTGGAGTCTGAGCAGTGTAGACCAGGAAAGCACACACACTGTGAGCGGGGGCAAACCCAGTGAGGCCCAGACACTGCGAGCACTCCCCACACACACACACCAATGATATTTGTTTGCAGCATTCCTCCCTCCCCACAGTACAATTGAACAAGTGAGCCTAAATAAGTGACCACCTTCTCCCCCTGTGTCAGGGCTGAAATACACACTGAAGAGACTTGCAAACAGAAGAAGCCAAAATAAACAAAGAAGAGGGAACCGCTTTGAAAGTGACAGGTGTAACAGATTAAAACTCTGTAGTTAGCACCAACTACATTGGAAGGGGCTTATAGACCTTGAGAAGAAGTATAAGCTGGAACAAGGAAATATCTGAGACTGAACTGACCCCACACTGCCCTCAACACCTCCAGAGAAATTCCTAGATATATTTTACTATTATCATATTTTTAATTTTTTAAAAGTTCTTTATTACTCCTTTAATTTTCATTTTTATAACCTACCATTATCTTGCAAAATAAAGACCCTATTTTTAAAGGAAACTTCATATATATTTTTTATAATTTTTGTGATTCTGTCTTGTTTCTTTAACATTGTATTTTTGAGAGTCTAACCTCCACTCTAGATTTTTAATCTTTGCTTTTTGGTATTTGTTATCAGTTTTGTACCTTTAAGNTTAAAAGAAAACTACAAACAAATACCTCTCATGAACATAAGTGTAAAAAAATTCTCAACAAAATATTAGCAAATAAAGTCCATCAATACATGAAAATAGGATTTTATCTTGAGAATTTAAGGGTGGTTCAGCACTTGACATTCAATGTCATGCACTTAATTACAAACTGTAAAAGAAAGATGTCATGATGATCTCAGATGCTGAAAGAGTTTCTCACAAAATTTAAGTTCAATTTATGATTAAAATTTTCACCAAATCAGAAATAGAAGAAAATTTCCTTAACCTGCTAAAAGCCGCTGACACAAAAGCTAATGATATCATACTTAAGATGGGTCGTCCATGCTCATCAATCTATGCAACCTCATACAGGAAGTCCTAGCCAGTGCAATAAGAAAAATTCATACAGACTTGAAAGGCAGAAATAAAACTTCTCTTCTTGATGGTACATCATTTGGATCAGAGAGGATATCAAAAGGGAATTTTTTATATCTTGAAACAAATGAAAATGAAAACACAGCATACCAAAACTTAAAGGGATATAGTAAAAGAGTACTAAGAGAAAAGTTTATAGTGATAAATGCCTATATTGTAAGAGATCTCTAATAAACAATCTAACTTTATACCTCAAGGAACTACAAAAGAACTAAACCCAAAGTTAGCAGAAGGAAGGAAATAATAAAGATCAGAGAAGAAATAAATCAAATAGAGACTAGAAAATAACAGAAAAGAATTGTAAGTTGATTTTTTGAAAGAAATAAACAAAATCAATAAAGCCTCACATTTACACCCATGGCTGATTCATGTCAGTGTACTGCAAAACCCACTACAATATTGTAGCAATTAGCCTCCAATTAAAATAAATTAATTAAAAATTACAAAATACATTGGTTACAGGTATGAAATGTACAGTGGGAATGTAGTCAATAATTATGTAATAAATTTATATGGTGACAAATGATAACTAGGCATCATTTTGAAGCATATAGAAATAGCATATCACTGTGCTTTGTACCAGGAACTAACATAATAATGTAGGTTAATTATACTTCAAAAACAAACAAACATATGAAAATAGATATTTGTAGTTACCAAAGGTGAAGGCTAGGGGAAGGAGGAATTGGATGAAGGTAGTCAAAAGATATAAACTTCCAGTTATGTGATAAATGAATATTAGTGATATGATGTACAATGTAAGCATAACTAACTGTTCTGTATGCTAAATATGAGAAAGAGTAAATCGTAAGAGTCCTCATCACAAGGCAAACACTTCTTTTCAGTTTATTTAATTTTGTATCATATAAGATGATGGAAGTTCCCTAAACTTACTGTGGTAATTATTTAACAGTATATGTAAGTCAAACCATTAATCTATTCATCTTAAATTTATACAGTGTTGCATGTCAATTGTATCTCAATAAGACTGGAAGGAACAAAAAGTGATTTAGCTGGACCTCACAATTGATTACCTGTGAGGTATAATAATATTATTAGATTAATTGAGATTGGATCTTAATTTTTTTTTTTTTTACCTAATTCAACAGGGAATAGCAGTACCAAACATAAAAGTTTCTGGGATAAATCAGGTTTGGCTTGGATGGTGACTAGAAATCAAGAGTTCCATTGTACACATGCCAAACTTGAGATGCCTATTATATGTCTACTATACATATTAATAAACCAGGTGTATGTATGAATCTACAGCTCATGGCCCACAGGAGTAGTTAGATAGCAACACATCTCTTTGAGTTTCCTATACTTATTCTTTTAAACATACAGTGAGAAAATTATCTTAAAAGACAAGCTTTGTGGCAAAAATGGCTTTTCTAAATGCCAATAATTTCCTTTGCACTCTTTTAATCTAGTTTTAATCTGAGTAAGAGGTTAAACTCACTCATGTTGGGCTTCCTGCCAGCTAGCCTCCCGGGTGGGGGCGGGTGGGGGGGGAGTTGGCCTTCTGTAAAACTTAACAGAATGTGGTTATGACTCAGAACTTGGACCCCAGCCCCCTCACCATGTCAGGAATCAGCCTAATAATACCCCCATTTCTCTCTCTTTAGCCAACATGCAAACAGTACACTGAAAGGCAATTAAAGCAAAACTTTCCCATCTCTGCTTTCTTGTGTCCTGGAATTGTCAAGTTAGAAAGCCAGAGGCCTGGGTTTATTTTGCAGAGTCTGATGTCAGTCAGTATGTTAGGCATATCTGGCATGCCCTAGAATGAATGGCACTGGACACCTGCTAGGATAACTCTTTGTGTTAACCCAGATAAAGCTTGTCCTACCAGGTTAGTGCATGTTCTGTCAGGGCATTTACTGCAAATTGTAGTGACATATAGGTAGAGAGGTTACAGAATGTGAGGCAGGAAGCTTGTCCATGAGAAGCAGCAGAAGGAGGGAATGACAAACCTTGGAAAGAGGAGGAGATCAGGTACAGGACAGAACACACCTGTATTTTCTGACTCCCCACAATAGGTGTCGAGTCAAGAATGAAGGCAGGGAGCAGTGGGAAGCAGGTTAACAACTGAAAAGTTCAAGGAATTTAGAGGAATATGGCTTGTTTTTCATTTCTTTGAACCCAGACTGGGAATAGCTTGCTTCCTTAAGGAATAAAACATATAACAGGACACCACCTCAGACAGAAGGTTGGAAATGAAACAATGGCAGAGAGAATGATAATAATTGCCAGGTTTCTCCTGGCTGGATTAGCCCCATGGAGTCCCCTAGGTTAACCACCAACCTAATAAATGTGCAAGGGGATTCAGATGTAAGTGGGCTATCCCATTTTACGACTCCAATTCCATGAGGCCACCCAATGAAGATAACCTAAGCTAAAATTGTGGGATGCCTCAATTATTAGGAACAGAGAATATAAAGAGTTATAACTTGGCAGGAGCCCTAATATTAGGGTTTCCAAAGAGTATCTAGGGTTTTAGTAATAAAGTCAATCACCAGTGTCAGGTACTGGACCAGGTATGGTCAGCAGCAGCCAGAGCCAGTGGAATGGTTCAGATAAAAGCAGGATGACCTCTCCCAAACAATGATGGTTGAGTTTCAGGAAAATACATCTGGATCTGTGTTCTTTCTACATGAAAGCTGATGCATATGCTTTCACCTATTTTTGCATACAAACTTCAGTAGGGAAAGGTAGACAGAGAAGACAGGAACTGAAAAAACTACATATTTAACAATAACAAACCTAGTTAACTTGAAAAAGATTGCTTTAAAGAAGGAGGCTGAGATATCTTTATGGCAAATTTAAGAACCATGTGACTCTTACTTCAGTATCTAGTAAGAAGATAATTATATGAAAAAAGATAAAGGGCAGTTATAGAAAAAAAAATACAACATGTATTTTCAAAGGTCCAGTTTTAGTGTATAAAATTCTGATCTCATTATCAACTATTCCCACATGAACATTATTCAGATTCCCCTAAGATGCCATGTCCTTTACAGTAAACTCTTGGTTACAGAGTAATTTTTTTTTTTTTCCAAAAATGACTACAGAGCCTAAAGCTTTATTTATCTCCCTGGGAATGATGCCAGTTCATGAACTAGACCCATGAATTTCAACCACTGTCCACTCTTTATGGACTTGAACTGATGGAGAGAGACTGTGCCCTAAAGAAACAGAATTTTATACAGGCTTGGGTCCATGAATAATGTTATGTAGACAAAGCTTTGTGATTCCCTGGTGGCTCAGTGCAAAGAATCTGCCCTGCAATGCTGGAGATGGGTTTGATCCCTGGGTTGGGAAGATCCCCTGGAGGAGGGCAGGGCAACCCACTCCAGTATTCTTGCCTGAAGAATTCCATGGACAGAGGGGAGTCTGGTGGACTACAGTCCATGGGGTTGCAAAGAGTCAGACATGACTAAGCGACTAAGCATAGCACAGACAAATCTGCAGCCCTCAGGTGACTAACTGTGGGGCAATTTTCAGATCAGATTTGCTCAACAAATGTTTCTGGGAAGCCTACTATCTAATATATTTGTTTAGTTTCTAACATGTGAAGATTCAAATATTTCTCACAAACTCTGGATTACTGACCTCTGGTTTTATTAGAAAATATGTCAAAACCAGACATATACTCATCACAACAGCAGAATCTGTTTCACAGTAACTCTTACTTTAGCTATGACAAGAAATATTAAATTCACTACTATCTCCTCCACTCCCTATCATATTAGACTCAGTCTTTTCACTTATACACATTGCCTGGCCCTTGTAGACATTTACATTCGTGGACTTTTGACAAGTACTTTCACTTATATGTTAGTGTATCCATGAACAATTTTTAGTTAAAGTCCTGGGGATAAATTAAAATCCTACACCGAGTTCTATGGCATGGTACTTTCCATTTTATTTTCAACTTTCTTGGAGAAGTTTATTTTTTACCATATCCCCATAGCTTCACTGATCACAAGTTCCATAGTATCTGCTGGATACTCAGGAGTACTTTGTCTTGGGTAGAGAATTATTTAGCAGTCCTGACATACTGTGAGACTGTGACAGAGGCCTTTATTATCATAAAAAGTTGTACTTTTTTTCCTGATAAAATTGTCATTTGAGAGGTGGGTAAAAAATGGCTTCCATTTCATAATTTCACAAGCGAGATTTTTATACTTACTAAACAATAGATTTTCATAACATCACCTTAACCTGATCTTTGAACTAAAACACCCGATACTAGACCACAGTATTACCAAAATATTTCTATTTCTCAAATAATTGTGACTCCATCATCACTAACTCTGTAAAGTCTCTCTGACTTTTCAGGTGTATTTCCAAGAACTTTAAGAATGTGTATCTTATTCAATCCACGCTTCTTTTACCTTGAGTCTTTCAATTAGGAAGTCACAGTCAAGAACACTTTTAAGTCTAAAGTTAAACGTTTAACCTACAAAATTTCTGAGCACTATTATAAGATGCTAAATTTAGACGTTAGCCCCCTGCTCCCAAGACAGAACTAGTAAATTATAGGGTCCTTTTGGTTTCCCTGGGGGCCCAGACGGTAAAGCGTCTATCTGCAATGCAGGAGACCTGGGTTCGATCCCTGGGTTAGGAAGATCCCCTGGAGAAGAAAATGGAAGCCCACTAGAGTATTCTTGCCTGGAAAATCCCATGGACAGCAGAGCCTGGTAGGCTACCTTCCATGGGGCTGCAAAGAGTCAGACACGACTGAGCGAGACCTCCTTTGCTAACTTAGAGATATATTCAAATGGTACACTTATCAGACTGAAATGTACCTTGAAGATTAATATAGATATTAATAGGCTTCTTTAAGGGTCAAGGGTCCAGTTAACTTACATGTTAAGTGCCCCCCAAAAAAAGTTTCCTGGATATTGTATACAAACTTAGCTTTGTCTCCCAATGTCAACATTTATGGCAGTTACTTATCTATTTCACTCTTGATCAACCATGAAATTTCTCACCACTTCCAGGCACTTCTTAATTTTACCTCTTCCATTCTTCATGTCATGCTATATCCTTCCAGGTCCTCATCTCCATCCTATGAGCTTTACCAGATCACTGTAGTATGACAGAAGAGTGTGCTGTGTTCTGTATCACTAGGTCTTATATTCCTGTAATTGGTACTTGACTTAAGAGCAAAAATTCTGGGGCTACTGGAGTTGACAATGAGAATAAAACTGCAAGGACTATTAAATAGAAAAAAGATACATATAGTAAATAGATGGTAGCTAACACAGGACAAGTTATGAGAGAAGAAAATTATTAAAAAGAAAATGGCACCAATTGATAAAGAGAAAAAAGTAAACCATAAAGGCAGAGGGAAAAAAAGATCAATATAGGTAATTATAGAAGACATATGAGTCGTTGTTTTACCTTCTATAAATTTTTCTGTATTTTTGAGCTTGCAGCTTTATGCCGTATGTGTCATTCCATTTGTACATAAAGAATATTCTGAGATATTGGTAATTTTTCTCTGTTTCCCTTTCCCTTAACTCTGCTCAGTCAAATATATAGCTTTGTGCACATTATTTCAAGAGAAGTATGGATCTTGATAGGGAAGAAGGAAGTAACAGCTTCAAAATATATGTGTTTCTTTGGTTTTGCTTTTAGTTATGTATAAGGAGAATTTTGAGAATTTGTTGGAGGAGTTAAGGGAAAAGGAATGTCTGGGCATGAGTGAAGTATCTTGGCCACAAAAGAGAAATTATATGTATTTACTAAAAAATATAAGATACATCTTTCTTGCCCATTACTTCAGGTCATACAGGGAGAGATAGAAAGAGTAACACAGAGAGAGACAGAGAGAGGGAGGGAGAAAAGATTAAGTTTTCTCCTTGGTTTGTTGATGGCTATCTTTAATCTGTGCCTATGTCCTCATACAAGGACACCGGTCATAGCGGATCAGGGCCCACCCATATGGCCTTATGTTACTTTAATTACCTCTTTAAAGGCCCTGACTCCATATACAGTCATACTCTGAGATATTGGTGGTTAGACTTTTAGCATATGAATTTGAGGAAAGAAATAATTGAGCCCCACTAAAAGAGAGTGTTACAGAGCCGAAGAGTAGAAGAGCATGCATGCATACTGGAAATAGTCAGGGCCACCCGCGAAT